ACCAGAATGAAAGACCTTAAACTAAAAGATTTGTCATTTGTTAAACATTCTTGGTCTTACATACTTTTGCATTCCATTTTATCTTTAAATAAGGAAAGTAAATGAAAGTCTTTGGTCTATACTAAATGTGATGTTTCCAGATAGTAACAAGAAACCATCTCAACGATCTACTGACCGTAGTGAGCGCAATGTAAAGTTTGCTGGCGAATCTCGTGAGGAAAGAAATAATAGACGCAATCGTGAGGACAGACCTCCTACCGCACCTGCAGAGTTCAATAGGTTTGTTTGTAGAGGTATCCCCCTACTTAAGCCAATTTCATGTTTACACAATTTCTTATGAAGTACTTTCTCTTATTGAAGTATAAAAAGAAAATAAAATGTGTCCAGAAATGTGGAATTTTTAAGCAGCAGCAGTGATTGATATTAATGTTAATCAAATTACATATTTTGAATAAAAATTGAAGGCAAGAGAAGGAAAGAAGTAACAGAACTTCAAGTTATGTGACCACTCATGGGAATGGAACTCGGCATAAATGGAGGGATACCTGTTTTATACCATTACTGATTTTTGAGGTTCGAAGTTTATGGGTTATTCCATTTGAATAAATTCAACCTTGGTCGTAGGATAAGGTGGTTTCTGTGTTTTTACATGGCACACTTCTGATTTTGAAACTTAGAAACAGGTATTTGAATTTATTCAAGAAGTATTGTCAGCTGTGTAGGAGGCCTTCAGATAGACAAGCAGTTCATCATGCCAGTACCAATTGTTTTGATCCCAGGGCTGTGACTTTGTAATAAAAATTACATTTTCTTTGTAGCTGTTATAAAAATTCTTGTCAGTCTCATCTAAATATAAACTGGGAAGAATTAAGTGGTTCATCTCCTTTTCAGAAGCAGATTAATTGTTGAGGCGTGTCTAGAAAGAAACAGCATAAGGAGCATAACAAGTGGCGTTAGGCATCACATGATCTGAAAGACTGTAAAGGAAACACTGCTACATTTGTGTGAATCATAACAGCTCTTAAGATTATAATGCTTTTTGATGAAAAAAATTAAGAACAATATCAAACTATATTTTTCTGCAACATATTGCAGAAAGCAAAGCGTACATACTGTTGTTTGATTTGAAAATTACAGGAGGATGAATCACAAAGGCTAAGATCGATGGGACATGTAGAGATAGTCGTGAACAGAGCTAGGAAATTGTTTGTACTACCTTTTTGAAAACAATTTTTGTATAATATGTGTGCATGTTGAAATTCAGGACTTCAAATTATTGTTTCCCAAATTATATACACACACACACTTTAATTTTTTAGTATGAAATGTGTCATTTCAGCAGAGAGACTAGGGATCGTGATGGACCTCGACCAGACAGTGATGTTCGCCAAAGAGGGCGTGGCTCGGGACGAGGCCTTGGCCGTGGAGGCCGCAGCAGCAGAGGGAGTGGTCGTGGGTATGACAATCGTGGCAAAAGGGAATATGATCGTCAGTCAGGATCTGATAAAACGTAAGTTGTCTAAATGAGTTTCTTTACTCCGGTAGATATACCATTTGTTCGTAAAAATACTGCAGTCTGGTTTAAAATATTTTGTCAGTGTCATGAAAGAACCAAGCAGAAACCTTGTAGGCAAAGTACTTCATAATATGCAAAATTTATTAACTGGAACAGATCATTTTATGTAGGCTGACACAATCAGCTGTCTCAAATTTGAAGTCTGAACATGATTGTTACAGATATTATCATTGTATAAATATTACAAAGTGAGACAGAAACCAAGCAGGTTGTCCTATTAATAACACATTTATTTTTTATTTTGGAGATGTACATTTCAAATCATTGCTGGGTCAACGTCTGTCCGGACAGGTTTATGTATTTTTCCTCATGGCAAATGGTTATTCAAGGCAAAATTGGGCTCTACATTTTTTTAGAAGACTTGGGAACGAGAAAAAAACTGTTCTGGACAGTTGGTGGCAGCACTGCACTCACTGCCTGACAGGTGGCTGTGCACCCCACTTCTACCCATTAGAGCTAGTACAAGATGATGATCAGCCATGTCACTCCTGTTATAGAACAGAGCTGTATAATCAGATTCCTGCTGGAAGAGAAAGGGAAATCAGAAATTCTCCGTGGGTTAGCTGCACAACATCAGGAACAAACCGTGCAATTTTCAAGTGGTTGTGATCAGTGCATTGTTCTCTGAAAGCCACAAATAAGCCTGGAACCTGCTGCATTCTCACCTTTCTTCAGCATTTGTAAACTGCTATTTTCTTCATAGCATTATCCCTGTAAACTTGCACCTGCATCTCTTTGATTTCCTTTCCGCATTTGCCAAGCTTGACATTCTCATGATGGCACACCAAAACATACTCAGACAATAATAGACGCTACTGAGAAAGAGACTGCCATAGATCAACAACAACACAGCTGTGAAATGTTGATGTGCCAATGTCATCAAACCACGCTGAGGTTACTGTCCGCTGCTGCCGCGGCAAGCACACGGTGGCGAGTTCGCGAACTTCATTGTCTGACCATGTACATGAATTTCATGCCATGTGAATTACATTTTAAAATGGATTTGTTCTAAGTAACTGTAATATTCATATGTGATAACTGTATGCTCTGAGGGGATTCATGTTAATGAATTTGTTTAATGAAAAAATATACAGCTGATTTTGTAATGATATTTCACTATACCTGCTGGCTGGGCATGAGTTAAATTTATGTGGATTTGGAGGCAGTAATGGAATGCAGTAACCAGTATGTCATTTTGTACATTAGGTAGGTGTCTCTGGGAAAATCGAAGTTAACAACTTTTTAGCTCCTTTTAATTGTCAGTTATGTCCATGAGACGTATGTTCACAGTCTCTCCAGTAGCAGATTGAATTTAAGTATCACTACTTTGAAAAACACACATGGAATGGTGTTAGACTTACTGCACTGTCTTCTGTCAATATCATTTTCACATGGCACTTCTTAATTTAATTCGAGTACAGATAATTGTAATCCAAAACAGTCGTCCTAATTACAGTGGCGTGAAGCCGGTTGACAAGCGTGAAGGCGGGGGCGCCCACAACTGGGGTAATCACAGGGATGATATTGAGTGAGTATAGATTTGGAATATGTGATTGCAAGGCTTTGTCAATTAAATTGAAGATTAACATTATTTTAATTTAGCACTTGAAATTCAAGGTTTTCCTTGAATTTGTGTACAAAAAAGTAACTCATTTAGTGTCAGTGTGTAGTTGTGTAAGGTGCTTAGTGCAGTAATATGGTTTGCCAGTACATTTCCTAAGTAGTGCTCCATGCACAGTATTTTTAGCTAAGCAGTAAATGTAAGTACTAGGAATATTGAATATTGAAGTCTTGAATTTTGAGGTTGAATCTAGAAAAAAAATTCTTGATCCTGATTCAGATGTTAAGTTTTCATTCTTGAATGTTATGATCACTATTTTTGCTTTGTATGTTATGGTGGTGTTATCGTGGTGATCAGAGTCATATGTGCCTAAATGGAAGACAGATTTTTATCCATGTAAGTGCTAACAAATCTATAGGTTGCCACCATGAATTTGTATGATAATATATATAAGAAGTTTTAATCCATTCTAAGTGTGTAACGTGACATAGCCCAGGTCACATGAGGGGTCAGTGTTAGTTCCCACTATTGTACTATGTAAGATTAGCAAGGAGGAAAGTGAGGGATACAAAAATGTGTTCCAAAGTATTGTCACGTGTTGGGTGTATAACGCGACAAATAACTTCATGCCGTATTTGATATAGCGAATTTTATTTCACATTCGCATTTACAATCACCCAAATTACAATCTGACAATTACTGCCATCGGCAGTATCACAAATATTACACTGCAAATACCAGAATACAATTGACTGGTTGCTGGCTAACTCGGAACTCTCTCGGAACTAACTCGTAGGTAGCTGCCTTGAGAACTAACTGTGAATAGCCTTTGCTGCTCCTTATGTAGCCTCGTTCCGGGCAACACAGAATACGGCCACGTAATAGGCACCCTTGTTGCCTGGAGCCGCGTTGCTAGCAGTGCTGTCCGGAGTTGTTTACTGCTGCCTAGTAACCGCGGTATCCTGTGGTGACGTCACCGCTGTTGACTTGCGTTGCATAGCTACCAGGATGCGGGGACTCGGCTAACTTCGGCTCCACTCGGCGCGTGAGGTCCGGTGGGGGGGTCCAGCTAGCGCTACACGTAACAGTATGAAGCTGCAAGGTTGCTTGAAGTACCACTAAAATTTCCAAATAAAAGCAGTGATTCATTGATTTACATTGTTAACGACAGGCTGTGCTACCCCAAGTGTTACCCAACGTAAAAATGGTAGGTCATGTCAAGAAAAGAAGTATTAGAATGTGAAAAGGAATAATATGTCAGGTATTGGGTGCCATAGCTGTGGTTCATATTCTAGGTCTCTTGATAGAACATGCAGATCAAACAAGCAAATGTTACATAGGAAGAAAATACTGCATCTCCTGGGGCAAATGTCTAAAGCTAGAAACAACATAAACTGAAACTTGCCATTTCTGTGTGAAAGTTGTGATTTGTGTGTATTCAGGGACAGAATGGAATTAGTTTCATGCAATGTAGCTACCTTACAGTTTCATCAAGGTGGTGATATATACTAATGATATGGAGGAACAGATTGTCTTTAGAGTGAAGGCCTACACTTTGATTGTCAGTAAAATTCCAGCATATTTTGATATGCGAGCCAGTTAAACGATGATGTAGGTGCAGAATCTGCTACCATAAAATTATGCAATGAAAAGATGTTGACCAAGTAAGCAGGCAGCATGAAATTTTCAGTTTGGGCTGCAGATATATAAGTTTTTTTAAGTCGTATTTTGAATAAGTGTGATGTAAGTGGATTTCTCCTGTGAACCAAAATGAATTTTCTATCTGGCTTATATGAATCTCAAATATTAGAACCAAAAACTGTTTTGAAGAGAGTGGTGCAGAAGAGAGTGAAGTCCAAATGCCTATACTGAAAGCACTGGCACTGTAAAGTAAAGCTATCCCCGTACCAGGCCGTGAAGGCCCATAGGGTTGTGAGACATTGAGGGTCCCGCACTATCAAGACAATCGACTCAAAGATGGCGGTAAGGTTGTCAGCCTTACGCGCCGGCCGCAGTTTACTCCCCAAGAAAATTATTTAATTAATTCCTGGTACTCATTTCTGTTAGAGGCTGAGTAAACCCCAGGGCCTAGTGCGGCTGGAAGGATAAGGTAAACTGAAAAAAAATCCACTGACCTCATCGGAATTTGAACTCGCGACTTTCCAGCTTGTAGCATAGCCCCTCAACCACTATGCTACCGCATGCCCCCTGGCATTGTAAACTTCTAATAGGAGAAACAGAGGTGTGATCCTGAGTTTATACGTGGTAAATAGGTGGTTTATGGTACGTGGAAAGGTGGGGAGTGTAATAGCAGAAAGTGTTCCCAGGATTAGTATTATTTTAAGTAATATTTTTTTTCTCCCCAGGGAACTTAACACAAGCCACTCGTCTGAAGATCAGCATGACTGGGCTGCTGATAAACCTGAAGGAGAAAGTCAGCCAACAGTGGAATCTGCTGAAACTAAGTATGTAGTTTATGTTTCATGTTACTACTGCTGATACGTTTTTACTAATGACATGACCTTGGGTTTTCTGAATTTGAGATTTAAAAGGCAAGGGAATGTTTTTGCCATTGACTCCCATTTAAATGCTCCTCGGGCCGTATTGACAGTGTGGTTGTCCTTCCATCGTCAACGTATACAGAGTACATGCATGCGCGTATTTTTTTCTGTGCATCGCATGTTATTATACAGGGCTACTATAAATGATTCATTCGTTTTTAAAACGCTATATTTTCCGAAGTGTTACACATACAAATATGATTGATATATAAAAAGAACCGTAAACTCGCCAAGTTTGTATTGGAACATCAATGTTCGTCGCTACCTAAACAATGAACTTCGGCATCGCTGGATTGGGCGTGTTGGTGAGGATGATGTAGCTCTGTTCACTTGGCCCCCCAGATCACCTGATCTAACGCCTTGTGACTTCTTCCTTTGGGGGTACATTAAGGATTGTGTTTACGTACGCCCACTGCCAAGAACACTAGTAGAGCTGAGGGAATGCATCGATGCTGCAGTGATGACCATTGACAGGATGATGCTACGAAATGTGTGGAACGAGCTCGACTACCGCCTGGACGTGTGTCGTGTGGCCGAAGGGGCACATATAGAACATTTGTAGAGTGTGAAGAAAACTTGGTGAGTTTACGGTTCTTTTTTATATCAATCGTATTTGTACGTGTAATGCTTTGGAAAATATAGCGTTTTAAACACGAATGAATCATTTATAGTAGCCCCGTATAACTCCGTGATTTCAGTCCACAAGTGGACTATACTGACCGAGTGACCGCCGCTTGTCGGTGTAGTGCCAACTTTTGTGGACAGAGGGTGTTGCGTGGTCAGCGCAACGTATCCCCACAGCTGTTAATTTCGGTTTTCTAGACCGGAGCTGTGTTATTATATACATTTCTTTATTATGGTCTGTCACAACACAACAATATAAAGGTCAAGGCTAAACTTAGCTTAGCTACATGTTTTGGCTATTAAAGCCATCATCAGACAAACACATGATTATCATATTCACACACTACTGAACTGCAATTGTGATGGTAAATTTCAATTTATTTTTGTTCATCAGATCTACATATGGCGATAGTGCCTCCAGATATAGAACACGTCAAAGTCCAGGTTACAATAAAATTAATCCAGAGGACTACGTCATAAAGATATTACAACATATTTACAACCATTGTTTCAATAACTATTGATACAATGATTGATACGTTGTTATAATTAAATACAGCATGCATATAACACTTGCATTGCAACTTATTATCATAATAAAATACATATTAACATTGTCAATAATAGAGTAAAAGCATATCTAAAGAATTATAGGTATCCTACAATAAAAGTTTTAAAAATGACTAGTGTTGTTTTATTTTTCTGTAATTTTGTAAAGCTGGATACTTGATAATGCATTATAAAATACATGGTATAAAAGTACAATGAACTATAAACTTATTAAAACGAAAGTTATGTCGTAAAATAAGGTTAATATGCTTCATGTGATATTCTATATCATGAAGTCAGTTGTTGCAATTTTGTTATATTCCTGCAGACTTAATGGTATATTCAGACCTGTATACTCGTACATATAATAAACTGCTTGGAGGCCCATGGTATAGATGTAGTATAGTTCAGACATTTATACCATGGGCTCCTATACCACCATACTCCTATCTTTTGGTTGTAAAGCAGAAGTTGAATTAGGGCATGAGGATTATCATTACTAATGCCTGTTGTTTTGTGAGTTAACACTTTGCGGACCGTGCACCCTTTAAAAGGTTTTTTGCTTTCAAACACGGCAGACCATGCACCTGTTAACAGGTTTTTAAAACATGATAAGTTGCAACATGCTATACATCTCTCTGGCGTCACCCAAGTTGCACGCAGTGGCGTAATAAAACTCTGGAATATTCGCTTACTTGTCAGTAAGTTGATCTCGCTGTTTTCTTAAGCCACTATAAGCGATAATGCTTTGTTGCTCTTCAAGCTGTATGTATCAGCCAGTAGTTATTGTTGGGTATGGACAAGGACAAATTCTTTTCCGATGAGCCAGCTGACCTGCCTTGTGAGATGTGTAGTTATGGTGTTTGAGAGAGCAGCAGTGACAGGGGAGAGCAAAGAATTGTGGCCACAGACAATAAAAGTGACCGCAGCTCCGACGATAATGGGGGTAATAACATTGCGGGGACAGTAAAAAATTTAAAAAATCACAAAAATCTAAACCCTGATTCGAAATTGAAATACAAAGCATTTCTGATGAATGTGGCAAAGCCCTGGGCTACAGACCAGATGGTGGCGGCAGAACCAGAGTCAGACACAGACTTAGTGCGACCATGCCCATCCAATCCCACCCCACGCAAGCCTCATGTGGATCCCACAGGGCGACTCTCGGGTGATATGCGGAAACATACCCTCGTGAAAATTGTGAAGAGTGAACATTCCAAGGGGAAGCATCTTTCTAGGCAATGCCATGTTTCCACAGTTCACAAAAAAAAGGGAGCATGTCTACATTTGCAAGTTCTCTGTAATGCCACTTCACAGAGGGGAATGTTTCCAGGAATATCACACTCTCAAGCACTTCTAGGAGCATTGGAAAGTGTTCTCCAAAAATTTTAGTTCATAAAATTAATTAGGAAATTTTATATTAATTTTTAAAGTGAACAGTGCACAAGTTAGGGTAGTAGGTTTAAAAATGCCAGTCCCCAGGGTGATTTAAATATTTAAATTGTCGGTCCCTGAATTGTTAATATATCCCAAGAGATAAAACTGTCAGCTTAGGATCAATATGTCCATCGTGCACATGATTGATAAACCAGTTACAAAACCTCACTCTTCTTACATAGGCCACAGGTTTACTTTCAGGAACAGCAGTAATTTTGTACAGAGAATATGCAGCACTTTGGTTGCTGTCCACACACTGCCTACAGAAACACCACTTTTTTGTGTTAATCACCACAAAGACTCTTGAGAAGGAGTTTTCTAATCGATGATCAATGTCGTCAAGTTTTTCCTTGGTTAAAACATGATTTCTTTCACAGCTTTCTGTCAAAATACCGTTGATTCAAACTTTCTTCACTAATTTGGAAATTATATCTCCACATGGACATGCTGTGTAGGGAAATGTATGGCAAAATTTTCTCCTGCATGATTGTCATGAGTTTTTTTTTCACATAAAAATGTAAATTAAAACTCTTTGGTCAAAATCGTATGTCACATGAGCCATAAAGACGCAGTACAGAGCACTGTATAAAGAAATTTCTGTACCACTTGATGGTGCACTGACTGACTCATCAGGTGATCACTGAATGAATGACCGTTAGTTTGTTGGGGAATCCTGCTGTGAGTCCTGAGATATACTGACAAGACCCTGGACATCTGAAAAGCCTGCACATTGAACACTTGGTATATGTGCTGAATAAAGACATCATTGGAAGTCGGCGTGTGAGAAAGGTTTGAGAACAGTCAAGACTATTTGACATACATTGGTATTTTTGTGCTTTTTGTGTTGTCTATTGCAACAGAACCTTTATTGGACATAAAATATAGGGACAATAGTGAAACAGGGACAATCCAAAAACTGGTGGCTATGCATGCACTTTAATTGTGTAACTCTATTTTGCTTTGATCTTACCAATTTAAGGTGTAATTATGATTTTGTATAGTGCATTGGTAAAGTTAACCCTAATTCAGGTGAATGAAGGTAATAAATTTGAAGTCACTTTCTATGGCATACCCTTTTATGAAGTTTTCCTTCTTAATAATTTCAATTTTCCAAACACAGCATTTATAATTTTCATTTCTTGCATCCTGTTGTGTTATTATATACAGTTCTTTATTAAGAGTCCATCGCAACACAACAATACAATGGTAAAGGCTAAAATTAGCTCAACTAAATGTTTTGACTATTAAAGCCATCATCAGGCAAACCCATGGTTACCATATTCACACACTACTGAACTGCAATTGCGATGGTGAAGCTGGATACTTTATAATTATTACCGTAACTTTCGTTTTTGTAATAAGTTTATAGTTCATTGTAATTTTATACCATGTATTTTATAATGTAATAATTATCAAGTATCCAGCTTCACCATCGCAATTGCAACTCAGTAGTGTGTCCTTGATGATGGCTTTAATAACAGAAACATGTAGCTAAGCTAATTTTAGCCTTGACCATTGTATTGTGTTGCGACGGACTCTAATAAAGAACTGTATTTTCAAACAGATTTTTTCACTATATCACATCTAACATCTTTTTGATTCAGTCCCTATAACATTGTAAGGAAAGTATTTTGGTTCAGTTTAAATTACATAAAGGTTGAACCAGAAATGATCTAAAATATTTCAAACACTTCCATGGTAAAGGACTCGTTACATGTTTTGCCTCTTGTGGTCCTGAAAAATATTTCATTTTTTTGCAGCTGTGGAATGTTCTTGTTTGTTCAGCAGAACAAGTGTCCAATCCCTCTGTACGTCAGTCTTTGGTCTTCAGTAAAGATGGCTCTAAAGAATTTGAAACAATCCTAAGAGTATGTGAAAGAAGGCATTATCGATTATTGTTATTGTATATTGAAAAGTTTTTAATATTTCAACGCACAGCACAGTTGTGATAAAGAGGATGCTTTTATGGTACCTTTAATTTGCATGTGTAGGGAAACTGATGTAGCTGTTGGTGCTGGTGCTGATACAGCAGAACAGGAGACTGTGCCACCTGTAGAGGAAGAACCTCGTGAGCTAACCTTGGACGAATATAAAGCTCTGAAAGGCAACCGACAGAAACCAACATATAATTTACGTAAAGCAGGTGAAGGTGAGGACCTGACTCAGTGGAAGAAAATGTATGCTTTGAAGAAGAAGGAAGGGGAAGAGGAGGAGGAGGAAGAAGAGGTATTTTTTGATTATGTGGTAGAAATTTACATTGAAAAGTGGTACTGTGATATAGGAAATGAACCATGACAGTGTAGACTTATAAGCAAGAATGATTATGTTATTATGGGGTTTCTCCTTACAGTGTACTATCTTCTTTTCATTTAGTTCAGAATCAGTAAAATGCAAAAGGAAATGAAGTGCTTCCCATATCTAATAAATTCCATCTCCATGCGTCACTCATGGGGACCGTGAGTATATTGCAGTATCAGAGACACAGTCTGTATCTTTATCAGCCCCTGCCGCCCCGGCGTGTTCTCATGGTTGCGGGGTGAAAGTAGCTGTGGAAGGTGCCTCATTTTCAACAATTTTGAACACTACTGATGCACATTTGCAAACACAAGAATAATTTGGTTGGTAAATGTACTGTGTTTACCTGTATTTTCCCATTTGCAGGACCGTAGTTAGTGTTATGTGAATCTGCTAAAAATCGTGCTCACCTATTCAGTATATTGAGCTGTAATGACAGAGAAACTATAACCTGAAGCAACAGCTGTAATTACCCAGCATGAAAACTTCTCAATAGAACGGATCATGTAGCCATGGCCTTGGTAAAGTTTTGAGAGCTTAAGCTCAATCTATGGAAGTGATATGTATTAGGTTGTACTTATGAAATGGTATGTGTGCAGACAGCCCCTGCCTTAATGCTGTCTCTACAATGTAGAGGTATGGTCTGACCCATTGAGAAAATCCCGTTATTTGAGCCCCCATGCTGTAGTCGCTCCTTCCACTAAAAACCGAGCCTATGCGTAGTGGTCACCAAGTGTTACCAGCAAAACACTATTTCAGTTTGTCATGTCTTAATCTTTGTTCTCTTGTTTTAATTTTCTTATCTTCGCTTCTGTAATTTTTATAAAACTTTTATTTAAATGTTATAGCTTTAAATTTCGCTGAAGAATTATTATACATTTACTTTGAATTTAATTTTCAAGATACAATAAAGATCCTTATTCGTTTAAAAAAATGACAATCGATTGCAATTCAGCAGCTCAGACTGGTACGTTGTACAGTTGGGACATGTTACGTCTTTAATAAGCGTAATAAAAGCAAATGTTGATGCAGCAGTATCTTCATTGTTTTGAATACTGATTGTTATTGTGTAGACGGTACGTTCTATACCTTATATAACTTATAAACTGTAATGATGTCTTGGTACACTGGACTGTTCACTGTTATTTCAAAGAAAATTGGGCCCACTATTCGATGACGTGAATATTATACAGTACAATAGGTGGTAGGAGACATGCTGGGAAACCAAGAACAAGATGGATTGATGCGGTGGAAGAAGATGCAAAGAAGTTAATGGGCATAAGGAACTGGAAGAGAGCAGCGCAGGATAGAGAGGAATGGAGGGGCTTGATAAGGGAGGCCAAGGGCTGACATCGGGCTGTTGCGCCATAGAAGAAGAAGATTCGACGTGATACAGCACACTATACTCCAATTTTCTGACAGTGCAAGGGTGTAACTTCTTCATTTTCTGAGCACTTCCATGGGCTGATAGTCTCCTCAGGCTTTTTGAAGAGGAATGCTGCAACATTTTCTCCACGTCAGCCAACTTAGTTAGCCTCAGTCAAAATGGGCGGTCTCCCGGATCTCTTCCTATCTGGAACTGATCCACATTCCCAAAATCGCTTGATTATTCTCGTTATCGTCGAATTGTCAGGAACTGCAGAATCTGGATATTCCCAACGAAACTTGTCTGTGACACGTGCATAAGATTGTCGAAATAACATTCCACAATGAAAACTCGTTCTTGGGAAAACGACATGTCTGCCATGCAATAAACAAAGCTATACTGCAAATGTCATATGACCGATACAAGACAGATGGTGTTTCTACTCGTTAGTACTTCTACAGTACCATCTGGCGGTAGGAGATATATTAACTGCAACACAATTTATAACAACTTTTAGTTTGGTGTGCGTGACTTTTTGATCATCCTGTATATAGAAGACTGCTGTGTGTTTCTGATTTGTTTAACATGACTGTAGCATCACATGACTCATTGCCTTGTAAATAATTATATACCTGGTCACCTAGTGTTTCTTCATGTCTCTACAGTGTGAGTTAGGATTTGTCCTGCATTTAATAATCCTGCTGACTGTGACATTCTTGCTGTTACTCATTTTTTCACACCAGAAACATGAATGTTGGATCGGAAGTTTTCCTTGACCTCTGTTGCCAGGAGGTCTGCATTGAATTGAGCTGCATTGACTGTTCTGGCATCTGTCAGAAAGTGAACGTGGATAACCCCCTGCCAGTCCCAGAAGAACGTTGCCATCACTTTTCCTGGCGAACGGCTCCTCTGCGCTCTTGGGTTTGGGAGAACGGGTATGCCGCCACTCGCGTGATGACTCCTGGGACTCGGGAATGAAGTAGTACACCCATGTTTCATCGGTGGTCACTATAGACTTCAAAAGTGCATGACTTTCATCTTCAAACTGCTGTAGGAGACGACTGGCAGCTTGCATGCGCACCATTTTCTTCACATCCGTCAAAGTGCGTGGTACCCACCGTGCATTTGCCTTGTGATAGTGCAGGTGGTATTTCACGATGTCTTCTACACTACCAACACCAGTGGACAGCATTGCTCCAAGTTCATTGATAGTGATGCGTCTATTCTCACAAATAAGTGCATCTACACAATCAATGTTTGGCTTGGTGACGGATGTTGGCGGCCGACGATCATGCGGTTCATTCTCCACGCAGTCTCTGCCCTCTCTGAAGCACTTACATCACTCAGACACACGGGTCCTTGAGAGAGACACTTCCCCATACTGTAGTTCGTGTCTGTGGTGAATTTCAGCAGACGACATTTTCTCCAATGAGGAATTTGATCACAGTGCATTGTTCCACGCTCCACGGTACCTTCTGTTCGCTCATCACTCTAGCAACTCCCAGACAGGACTGAACAGGAGGGAGGGTGGAGGTTGTGGCTTCACTCTCAAGGTCGCACAGCTGCTGCACAGTTTACACACAAATCAGTCCCTGTCATATTTGAACCACCTTGTATTACTGCAATCTTATCTGCTTATTTGTGCCATATTTAACAACTTATGTTAGTAATTCAGAATTGAAGTGCCAAGTGATTGGGTGATAACAAATAATAAATTGGAGAGGGCACAGCAGGAAATGGTCATGACCTAATTGAGGTACTCTCCTGGGATTTGCCTGGAAGCACTGAGGAAGTCTAGGATAACTACAGCATAGTATGCAGCCTGGCTGAGATATCAAACCAGACATCTGAATACAAATTATCATTGCTTCTTGAGTAAATTTGCTGGGTCAGGTTGTGCAGCATACTAGTGAATTTAATTTTCTAGCTAACAGCATCTTCATACGCTATGAATATCCCTGTATGTGAGCCATCTTGAGACAGTTGTGTACAGATTTTACCTGTTGTTGAAATTGCAAATTGAGAATGTGATGTTATTTGGTGGAAAAATGGTTTTGTATAGAAATGTTCTGATAGAACTAACTACTCCTTGGAGATGTCAGACTATTCCATGCCTACTCTTGCTGGTGTAGGTGTAGGTGTAGTATATTTGCAGTGTCACATTTGAAGTTTTCTTGGTGGTGAAGATTATCATGGTAGTCTTCAGGGTTCTCAAACCATGTAATCTGATAGATTTTACAAAAAAGATTGCCACGCATGGCATATGAATTCGCTGTTGACTTGGATAGTGTCTGAGGTGAGCGACCTCTTCCCAAATGGCTATATCATGTCTCTGAAACTTTCTGAATTTTGTTCATCGCATGTGCTAATAGTTTTATCATTGGCAGACAGTAGGCTTATGCTCATCTTGTCTTCAACAAAAGAATGTGTATTATTGATACCCATCAAAGAAGATAAGACCAACGTCAGGGATTTGCTTGTATTTAAATGTAGCTGCAAGGCCAGGCAGGATGCGTTTAACCTGTTCACATGGAGTACATTGCACCCACTGTATGCCTTTTTAGTTGTTATATACAACTGTGGAGTGCTGGCATGCAGATGACTGCTCATGATTTGTCCTTCCATCTCACGAATGGTGTTTGGACAAGTGGTGTTTGGATTATGTTTGCCTGTACTTCAAGATTAAGGTTTAGTCTACTGTACAGTGTATGTGTCAACTGGATTTATTGATTTATGTGGAAATTTCAGTTGTAAATCAGCGTTTTTTTTTATTATTATTATTTTGTTGTTAGTGGGGTGGGACTAAGTCCCTTGTACTGCGACCACTTCTGGCCTATTGTACCAGCACCAGATGATAGGTGAGGGTGATTGCGGAGCAATTGGTGAAATGAAGACTGGCAGGGGAAACCGAAGTACTCGGAGAAAACCTGCCCCAGTGCCACTTTGTCCACCACAAATCCCAGATGGCCAGACCCAGGATTGAACCCGGGCCGCCGCGGTGGGAAGCCAGCGACTAACCGCTTGAGCTCTGGCGCAGCCTAAAGGAGCGGTTAGCAAACATTTTGTCAGGTAGCAGTATGTACAATGTGAACGTTGTTGTTTTGAAGAGCATTTTTTTCTCATTAAGCCAGTATGTTTGGTTGTCATGATGAAATAACAGTTATTACTAATTTAGGGGCCAGTGTTATTCTGGCATGTCTGAATTTAATCCCCAATTGAAAACTCCTCCCACACCATGTCAGGATAAGTGCTTCAGTGTTGAACTTCACATGTTAACATTAGTTCACTTTGGGAAATGTAAATGTTAAATACTTGTTTCTGTGAACACTTCCCATTTATGATCACTGCTAATTTGATTTGATTGCTTTATAGGAGTATGATGTATCAGATTATCCTCAGCGTGTTGGAAGACAGAAACATTTGTTGGATATTGATATACACTTTGCTGACTCTCGTCGTGGAACACGCGGACGTGGTCGTGGTGGACCTCGTGGAGGTGGCCGTGGTGGTCCACGCGGTCCTGGTGGTCCTCCACGTAATAGTGCTCCTGGTTCTCGAATGGGTGGTTCTGGTGATGCTAGAGGCCCTGGAGTAAGTAGAATTTAAGTCCTGGATTTCTTATGTAAATTGAAGAGCATCACTCTTATATTCCACTTGAAATATGTTCCACTTAACAAGTTGTGTTATTTTGCAAGTACCTAACATTTTAGTAGAAAGAAGCTATTCAGCTGCATTATTGAGCTGTTAGTCAAACAAGCACTGGAGGAAATACATTAAATCCTTGTTAATTTGAAGTGCTAGAAATCTGAGAATATGAGCTTTTGAGATATATAATTTGTAATTATCAAATTTTGACTTCTGACTTTTGTGTGGGGTATTTAGTTGAAATAATGATATAAGAGTGTTATGTAAACACTGATTTTTTTTTTAGTAAAATGTGTGACCACATTTTTCTATTACAGATATATTGTGTACGACATGCATGAATTACATCCTATGCATGATAAACCTTACCATTGTTAGGTTGTTTTCCAAAATGAATGTTAATTGAATTTTGCATAAAAAAAGTATTTAGTAGGTTATTGACCGGAATTCTTTAATAGCATCCTTTGCTTTCATAATCTGTGATCTGCATCAGTTGAATTAGTTACAAAGGCGACACTCACTGTGTTATAAAACATCTTTACATCTAGGAATGCATTAGAAGTGGCTTTATCTGCACCCGTTCCCATTCACCCACTGATTCACTGTGTGGTTGAAGTCAGACATTGTGACTTCCCCCCCTCCTGAAAACATTCGTGTTTGCATGAAGTTCTGCACCTGTATAAGTCTTCACAGGTTCTTGGGAAATGCAGATAACGTTGGGAGTTTTACGTAGATCCTGTCATCCAAGTCTAACATTGCTGTATTACATGATTAGAAATAAAAGACAAGGTTAAGAGGGATCAAACTATATGTGAACATTAGTTTTTGAAACATGTTATACCATTTGCAGAGATAATTGTATTTGTTACATTTATATTTCTGTTTTTAATTTTTTAAAGAAGATAATCAGTGTAGGTCATGAATAGTTTCCAAATTTAAGATTATTGCTGGCTTGGTATTAGTAATTCACAATATCGTCAAGTTTAAGGCCATAGATAGTTTAGGCTGTTAACATGTTATGTTGTAATTCAGGAGATCCAAATTCAATTGGGATTATCCATGTTTATGTGATTGACAAAGTTGTGGTTTGGGGGAAAGTTTTTTCCTGGACTACTTTGGCATTCCTGTGCCAGTGATTATGTCTAGGGTGCTGAAATTATAATGGATCTTGAATTTAGTTGTCCTGAACATTGATCACTTGAACTTTTTAAGGGCAGTACTGTAACAAAATTGATTCAGGAAGGCATGTAACCGAGAGATCTGTAGAACGATTTCAAGTAATCTTTGCAGTTTTCATTGGGTTGGTCTGTTGGCTTGTACTTCTATTAGTCATAGATGATTTTGTATTTATTAGCGTAATTTATTCATTTTTTGTTAAAAACGTTGTGCCTGAAAGTTGAGTATAAGATATGTGAATACTGCTTTTAGGGTATAATTTTATATGCTAGATTGAGGCAGTTAACAGTTGAATGTAATGCAGCATCGTTGTATTGGTATTCATGGCCGTGGAGCCAACGGGAACTCTTGCCAACACATTATTTCCATTGCAAATCCAGTTATGCATGGATGCGTCTTGGCAGCACACATTGTATATTTGCAATTAATGGCCTCCACGTTATTCCCTGAAGAAGCATTGAGTTGAAAGATCCCATTTGCACTGATTCATAATATGTAGCACATCCACAAAGTAAGTTTCCCACTCGTCCCACAGCTAGCAAACCTTATATTGCGCGAAGCGACTGCGCGTATGTGATAGAGCAATGACGTAGCATGGCGCATGCACTAATGGAATTTCCCATGTTCCCACAGTAGCATTGTTGCAGCTGTTGAAGATGGAGGCTCTTATTCCAGCTCCCACCGACTGTGAAGTGCAGTCAGTGATAAAGCTTTTGAATGCACAGAGCATAGCGCCGATCGAAATTCATCGCCAGCTGTGCTGGGTCTATGGGCCTAACGTCATGAGCAAGCAGATGGTGCGTTGCTGGTGCAGACAGTTTTCAGCAGGTCGACAAAGTGTGCATGATGAGAAGCGCAGTGGGCGGCCATCCATCATTACCGACGACCTGGTGGAGCTTGTGGGGGAACGCATTATGGAGAGTCGTCACTTCACAATTGCAGAACTCAGCAGTCATGTCCCTCAGATTTCCCGCTCCTTGTTGCACGAAATTGTCACGGAGCATCTGTTGTCCAGGAAATTGTGTGCCAGGTGGGTGCCGAAGCAGCTGACACCAGAACACAAAACAAAGCGCATGGAGTCAGCATTGACCTTTCTGCAGCGGTACCATGATGACGGCGACGAGTTTCTGGACCGGATCATCACAGGTGATGAAACATGGATTGCACACATTACCCCAGAAACCAAGCAGCAGTCAATGCATTGGCATCACAGTGGGTCTCCCTGTAAGACAAAATTCAAGCAGATGTCGGCGCGGAAAGTGATGTGCACGGTATTCTGGGACAGACGGGGCATTCTCCACGTTGACTTCCTGACCAGAGGTGAGATGGTGAATGCTGAGAGTTACTGTGAAACACTGCAGAAATCGCGACAGGCCATTCAGAACAAGCGGCGCGGGATGCTTAGTGCCGGTATTGTCTTCTGCACGATAACGCTAGGCCGCACACGGCTCGATGGACAGCAAGTCTCCTGCAGGAGTTCAGCTGGGAGGTGTTTAATCATCCACCCTACACCCCGGACCTCGCTCCCAGTGATTTCCATCTTTTCCTACACCTCAAGAAATTCCTGTCCGGTGAGCGTCAGCATTTTGAGAATGACAGAGAAGCGGAGATGGTTGTCACACAGTGGTTCCAATCTCAGGCGACAGACTTCTACAACACAGGTATTCAAAAGTTGGTCCCACGGTATGACAGATGTCTCAGTTCCGGTGGTGATTATGTTGAAAAACAGCTGAACACTTGATGTATCTGTTGCAATAAATATTTCCATGAAATTGTGTTTTGTTTCTGTAAACGGCCCCAGGGAAACTTACTTTGTGGACGAGCCTCGTATTGTTGGAAAAACGGATTACACTTGAGTACAGTGTGGCAACACAGTATGGATTTATGTGCCTGCAAACTTCACTGCACAGTTCCTTTATGATCATTCAGATGAAAATGCCCCTTGATAAATATTTGACTGTTGCACCTTCTTTATGGTAGAGTTCCCTATAGCACACTACCATAATGCATAAACTTTAATAATATTTTCTGTGAAAATTGTGAATTACTTAGAAAAGTATCAAGGTTATATTTCTTGGCAGTAAATTGTGTGAGTAAATACAGTCTGCTGAAATGTGAATTTGCTGTTCTAATGTAAGGTTCACTAAAAAGAAATGCTTATGTGTTTCATTAATTTGAATTATAAACAAGAGGTGCATTAATGATTGTGTACTATAACATACTAGGAATTTAGTTTATAATATCTGAAGAAGTGAAATTTGAATGCAGAAATTGTACATTTTGTGCAAATAGTAGGAATTTTGAATGATATCTTCAAACCATGTAGGCATACAAGAATAGGGATATATAAGATGCTAGACAGCATCTTCTGCTAATTAATTATGGGCATTAAAGTGAAAGTGACAAAACAAGATAGATATCAGTTAAAATGTGTTTCATGAGGAGGTCTGCAGGATATGTTCTTTTGATCCATAATAGAAACTAAATGAGAGAACTGGAAACACCACAAATAACAGACTTTGTAGTACAATACAGAAGAAATTGGAAAGAACACAATAGGAATAATTGCGACTAAATTTCGGAAGAAATTATTCTATATTTCAGCATCCTTTTGCAGTTCACATTAGCGTCCATTTGTCTATAATCCGTCCAAATTGCAACACTTTTTATTTTACACTTCAATACACACACTAACACGACATGTTTCAGCCTCAAGTGTTTTTTTAACAGATATTCGATTAAGATTGTGTCAGTTGTCAAAACTGCTACACTGTTTCGATTCATTTAAAAAAAACGCCGTAGTCTTCTTTTTAATTAAAATGAGATAAAATTCTTTTATAATTTGTTACTTATTGTTTTACTTCACTCAGGGTGTCGTCATTTCCGTAAAATATAAGAAGTTTTCCTTGGCAGCTTGTTCCTCACGTTAGTTATTTTCTCCTGGTTTGTGTTTCCTCTTCAAGTGTGGTGTTGTCTTTACTAGTCTTTTTTTTTTCTTGGCTGCTACATTGTTTATTGATAATTTCATAATCGTGTATTTTGGTACAGGTCTTTTTTTCAAACAGGTTTTGTTAAAATTTATGTTCGTGTTACAGTGTAACAGTTTTCGTTTACAATTCCTATAGTTATATATGCCTTTAGTATGACTATTATTTATGATTCTGTATTTCAGCATCCTGTTGCAATTGTTCACATTAGCGTCCATTTGTCTATAATCCGTCCACTACATGTAGTGTTAGAGTGTGTATTGAAGTGTAAAATAAAAAGTGTTGCAATTTGGATGGATTATAGACAAATGGATGCTAAAATTCAGAAGAAATCTTTTTAGATACTGGCCAAAAGGAAATTGATGTTAGTAAGGACCTCAGAAATAATGAATAGTCTCTTTTGTTACATCTGCAAGAGTTGCCTTAATACGTGAAATAGTTGTTGTTGTTGTTGTAGTTGTAGTTGTAGTTGTTGGGGTATTCGGTAGTGTAGTTGGTTGAGGCACTATGCAACAAGCTAGAAGATCGTGGGTTTGAGTCCCAAGGAGGTGGGTTTTCTTTTTCACTTCACTTAATCCTTCCAGCCGCACGATGGCCTTGGGGTCGACTCAGCCTCTTAACAGAAATGAGTACTAGGAATATTCCTGGAGATAAAGGGCGGCTGGCGGGTAAGGCTAACCTTTCTGTCAACTGTGAGCTGATTGTCTGGAGAAAATGTGGAAGCCTAGACATCTCACAACCGAATGGGCCTTCACAGCCTGTTACAGGGATAGCTTTAGCTTGTTGTTGTTGTTGTTGTTGTTGTTACCGTTACCACCACCACCATCATCACCACCTATTACCTTGATATATATTTGTTTCAGTCTCGTGATCGTGGTGATCGGTTTGATAAGGAACGAGGTGATAGGTCAGAACGTGATTCGTACCAGCCTCGTGGACCAAAGCAGAGTGCACCAAAAATGGATGATGAGCATGACTTCCCATCTCTTGGCTAAGTGATCACAAGATCATTGTTGATGTTGTAAACCTCAGTACCCCTTCTGAGCTCCTTTAATACTTACGATTGGAGAATATTTTCCTTTGTACAGCTTTTGGAAATGGGTCTTCCAAAATGTGTAGGAACAAAATTTTCAGTCATAACAAGGGAGGAAGTTTTGTTCACTGTTGCGTGGGTAAGGTGACTGTAAAGGTAGGTGTGGCCACGAGTTGTCAACTTAAGGTGCTTCAAAGACTTCCACACTCCTTACCCTAGTCAGTCACGATATGAGGAATTTTTTTTGTTGAATGTGGTTGAAGTCCACTCCCCCATACTTTGGTAAAGTGCTAAAAGTGCTCTAAATTAGCTGGGTTGTCTCTGTTGAGGTACACATTTTGGTAAACATTTTGTGTATCTTTGCGAGATCCTTGTCCTACACTTAGGAGTGCATTATTGGAGGATTTTCATTTTTACAGATTACATCTTCCATGTTGTTAATTTCCATCAAAATTTTGCGATATTTATGCTGCGTTGATAGGGTATGTACAGTTGTATATACTGCTGGTGTTGGCAGGTGGCCGCTACCCATTCAGCCAGTGACGATGAAAGAAGTAGGTAAACTGTAAAAGTACCACATAGTATATTTATACTTACTAAATATAAATCTATTGAATTTGAAGTGCTTGTATCATTAATGATGGAGGTCCTCGGAGTGAAGTGATAATTAGGTACTAGGATCTCATTTTACAATTTTGTATGTTATAGATATCAACTGATTGTTAATCCTAAAAAGCAAAATCATGCATTTAGTTCTGTTTTATTCATTGACGCATGTCTGGGCAGGTTATACTGGACTCCTGACCTGGGGAACCATAATCACATTGTCATACTGATCAGGAGCTCAAGGTAGCCAAATGAAAGACTCTTATTCAGCATAATGATTTATATTACAGCATAATTGAAGACTCACAATTCTTCATTCTTCACTGTAGTACTGAGAAAGTCAGTGCTTAGTTGTATGCGATATATACAAGTGAAGTTTATGAACTCCATAATTGAATGGTCACATGTATGAAATGACATATATACACGAGTGATACTGAGTTTAGAAGGATTTGAAATGTCAACATGTGGCATTGTTGGGCAGTGCTTAGTGGACAAGGAAGATTATTTTGTGTTGATCGCTTCAGACACGTAACCAGGTTTCATGATGTGTGTAATTCATTTGTTTTTGTAACAGGTATGTGCATTTATAAGTGCTGTTGAATATAAAGTAAATTTAATCCATATCTGAAGTTGTAAATAATGAGCTTTAGTTGATTTTTATTTTGAGCACTGTCATTGCCATCATGTGAATAAGGCTTTGTTTTTCCCTATGAACAGTAGCATAAGAAGGAACTTTAGCTGTTACATTTACACATACAAGGGTGAGGCTATTACACTTTTTAACTCGTTATAGTAGGAAAATAAATTCGAATGAAATTTGTATTCTGTTGTGCACCGAATCCCGTGATTATTTATGTATAATATAGACTTGGAGTTGTTTTCTTGTGCACTAAATGAGTCTTATATTTTACCCTCTTTCCTTCCTCTCAAATTAATACTAAATGTTACTGGATGAAAGTCATAATTTTATCCTTGAAGTGTATAGATACTGCAATTTTGATGGTGCCTTAAAGTACAATTGCTTTAGAGTTCCGTTCATCTGTTGTGCTTCCTCTATGCTAGGATTAAATATTTTGTGGTTATAATGTTGTTTAGTTTGAATGCATATGTAACATTTAGCGTCTGTGGGTAACAGCTGTGAGGAAGCATGCATGGGTCCACCAGTCCATGTCCCAATGTTTACATATAGAATCCTTATTCCTGGATGACAAGGATAATAGAAAATCTTTTCACAGGAACATTGCATTATAAATGCAAAGAAAGTATTCACTTTCTGTCCATGAATCAGTATTTAGCATGCGTAGCCGAAGGACGGGTATAATTGCAGATGTTTTGAAATTGAAATCAGTTTGTGGAAGTCATTAGTAACGGCATGTAGCTTGAAAAACATTGAATCCTCACCGATTAGAGTGAATACCATTGTGGCACCACAGTACCAGCTTAGTCTTATGGTTACATCTATTGGTGTATTTTTCCTAATACTAAGGGTCTTGTCTTTTTTTAAGAATGACAATTAAATAAACAGTTTGAATGGAAGTCCTCTTGAAAATATATTATGCTTAGCACTTCCTGTTAGCCATACTGAAGCCTCATATATTTGAATATTTTATGTACAGTTTTTAGGGAAATGCGTTTATACAAGTATTATGTTTTTGGATATTATCCATCATCTTGTCTCTTTTTTAAAGAACCATCCTCTTTTACGTTTCGAAGACTGGATTCTGTCCCCGTCCTCAGGTAAANTTTCGGAGACTGGATTCTGTCCCCGTCCTCAGGTAAAACCTACTCGATTGGGTCCAGTAGATAGAGCCAGCCCCTATCTCCGGATGATATTTATGATATTTGTATTAGTATCATTGAGGACTTTCAGTGAATCATATACTCAGATGTTGTGATGGAAGGTGGTAAGTTTACTTCGCAATCTTAATTTGGTTGCATTAAAGTACGTCTTATAGTCGTGAAGTTTAGTACCCAAGTGTTTACTTTTTTGTATCAAGTTCTTCTTGTAAACAGTTTTTTGTATATTTTTTCTTCTAAAGGACTATTTTTTTTTTTTTTTTCAATTTTTTGGTGGAAATGTATTTGATATTGCCATGACTATCAAACAAAAAGTCACCATCTTCACAGACAAGTGTAATTATTTCTAGCTTCTGTAATAGTGTCTGGGAAGAGGCATCTATGTGTAAAAGAAATCATATTGTGAGAAAATGGGAGAAGAGATAAAATGCCATTGTTATGCAAAGAAGTGCAAATGAAGGGACCAGTTTGGACTGCAATGAGTGCAGAAGTTCCTGTTTCCATTAGAGAAATCCTGTTGTGTCCCTGGAATTGTAGAGTACCCAGTTTTCATTGCTGCCTGCTATACAGTGCCTTAAACCATCGAGGAAACTACGGGAGTTGTGTGAGTCGGATACAACATTTCTCACAGATTGCTCCTGTAACTGCCGATAGCGGAATGAGTCATCAGCACTGATAAACGCCTGCACTCTTGCTAGTGTAAAGTGGGATTGTTTCTCTGCGACTACTGTGCCCTTCCCCGATAGCGAGAGTGCAATCGTGTCGCTGATTCCCCCACATCAATTTCTGTACATGCACACATGTATAGGAATACTGTTAAAGAGATAACAAACTTACCGTGCTTTATAACGGGTGTTGGAAGTACCCCCCCCTTTCTGCATGCAGACATGCCTTGCATCGCATAAATAAATTATGGGACGCTTTCTGAAGTTGGTCCATGGCAATTGAACTAATTACGTGTGTTGTTTCATTCTGCAGAACTTCAGTGGTGATAGGATAATTCTTGTAGACTTTTCCCTTTAAGTTTCCCAAAAGATAAAAATCGCAGAAACTGAAATCTGGGAGGCCATAGTCCTCTGCTGATTACTTTGTCTTCAAGCACTTTCCGTATTGCGACCATGTATGCATTTTCTGTATGTGCTGTAGCTTTGTCTTGCTGAAAATACCCATATTATATTTCTTCAGCAGTCAGGTGATTGAAGAACGGATTCAGTATATCATTAACGTAGCGGTCAGAGTTCGCAGTTTTGTGGAAAAATAAGGGGCCAAAGATTTGGCGTGGACTTAACAGCACACCACACCTTTTCACTATGTAATGGCACTTACTGTATAGTGTGAGCATTTTACATGCGTAATTAGTTCGATTGCTGTATACCAACTTAAGAAAGTGATGCATAATTTATTTATGCAATGTGAGGCGTATTTGTAAGCAGGAGGAGGTCACTTCCAAAACCTGTAACAAAGCATGGTAAGTTTGTTATTTCTTTACAGTATTCCTATACATGTGCATGCATAGAAACTGATGCAAGGGAATCAGCGACATGACTGCACTCTTGCTAGCGGGGAAGGGCACAGTAGTCGCAGAGAAACAATCCCACTTTACGCTAGAGAGAGTGCAGGCGTTTATCAGCGCTGATGACTCATTCTGCTATAGGCAGTTACAGCAGCAGTCTGACTCGCGCTGATTCCCCAGTTTCCCCGATGATTGAACGCCCTGTATGATTTAAATTGGGGTGTGACACCAGCTGTTGTTGCTTAACAATTAAATTGGTGTTCACTGTCATTGTATGAGGTTTTAGTAAAGAAAACTATTATATTGTAAATCAGACTGTCTACCACAGTTGAGAATAAGAAATTCTGTGCAGTATGGTGGATACTATGTCAAGTCCAGTATTGTAATAGTTTATGCATTGCTTTCTGAATGCTGCTGTCTTTCATGGAGTAGTGGAAGAATTGTTGCAGATAATTAGGTGGTTATGGTTTTCCAAAAATGAATAGTTTTGAATTTTAGTCATTTCTCTGATTTTTGTTTTGCTTCAAGTTGCACCCATCCCCCCCCCCCTACCCATTCATGACTCTCATATCAGATTCAGTTAAGAGAGAATTTCTGATTTGAGTTGAATTCAGTGTACCTAACAGTCTTGTTAGCTTGGTTAAAATACTTATAATTATATGGAACTTAGTCCTTGAGAATCCAACATGAAAGCAACCTGAGAAATTTTTGCCTATTTATTTAACTGGAGGGGGTTTATTACATTGTTATGTTTATCCTGAGACGCATGAATCAAGCATGTACCAACCCATCTTTTCCCCGTAAGATTCATTATAATGTGATTCTCCTGCCCGTGTCTAGGTCTACCTAGTGGTTTCTTCCGGTTTTTCCATATTATCCATGTATGCTTTTTCTCATGTGCTACATGCCCTACCAGTATCTTCTGTTGTTATTCTAATTATATTTGATGAGGAGTACAATTTGTGCAGTTTTTTGCAATATTATTTCATGCCTTTGGGTCTGAATATTCTCCTGTTCCCATACACCCACAGTTCTTCAAAGTTCCATACCTACACATAATATGAGATGGAACGGTTGATCGGTTTCAAATGCCACACTTTTAAAAATAAACTGGTTCGTGTATTTGTATGAGCAATTTGTTTTCTGTTAGGATTCCGCTTTGGCGAGTTATGCAGCATACCTCAGTTGATTTTGGTGGTTTCAAGTTCCTGCTGTTATCCCCAATCGTGCTACCACAGCGGCATATTGTCGCAGAATAGCGATTGTGCACAATAAAGTAATTGTATGTCAAAGAATTTATTATACATGTGTATGACTTAACACTTATTACAAAGGGAAAGTTTCAGTTTTTATTTCTGAATATATAAATTTCAGAAAATCAATACAAAGTCCGTCGAGTGTAACAATGTTTTTTAGGTCACTTCTTTNTTTTTTAAATATTTTAATAGTGATGTTTTAACGCGAGGGCAACTTCGGATGGAATGCGAAGGTTGAACGTGCATTCTGTACGTGCATTCAGTACTCCAAGCTAGTGTTGTGCTTTTACACATCGACATTTGTAGCAGTGCCCACACAGCATATATACTGTGTACAGTTAAACAACGCCAGTGTTTTCTTGTTAGTACCATGTGCCTCTGAAGATGGTTTTACTAAAACCGAAACATGTAAGGCAAGAGTGAGAAAGAAGTGACCTAAAAAACATTGTTACACTCGACGGACTTTGTATTGATTTTATGTATAATAGTGTAACGGACCAAAATGAAACAATTCAAAATATAAATTTCAGTGTTGTCTTCATTGGTGGCACGACAAATATCCGGATGATGTTTGATTTGATCTCGTTCTACATTCCTTGGAGCATGTTTGGTGTTAACATGGTTAAAGTGTCCATTATGGGGGCTTTCAGGTGTTGAAGATATTGGTCTTAACCTGGTAGACAGTGTCCTTCACATAACCTCAAAAAATGTATTGCGGTTAAATCTGGTAACCTAGGAGGCCAAGTGATTGGTTCACTTTTGTTGATCCATCTCTCTCTGTCTAGGTGATTCTTAACATGGTGGTACCGCATCTTGTTGGAGGTTAGTTTGTTTGAGGTGGTGACTGGGGCAGCGCATACAGCTCCAGCATTACCAAGTGCAAACATCCAATCACTGTCTTTTCCAAAAAGCCTATTCAACTTGTGCATTAAGCCAGCCGACACGTTCACTTTGGGGCTGCCCGAAGGTACTTATGAATTAGATGAAATCAACGAACACTTTCAACGTTAATCCTGGGAGCCAAGGCTCCCCAATCATTTCTGTAGAGTTTTGTGACTTCTCATGGCTATCACTGAATAATCTGTTAACATATAACGGACTTGTCATATGCTTTAACTGCAGTCTCTAATAGTTTTAAGACTTTACTGGCATACAAGTCAAAATAGCGCTACATTTGTTTTCCGCTTGCTTCTCTCTCTACACACTTCTGTTCTTGCATAAATTCTGGAGATTGCTTCTTGAAAACGAATGACATGTTTAAGTTTGATCTTGAACGCCTGCTGCTGACACATAAATTCGAATTTTAAGTGCGAGATTCTGAGAGTCCA